GAGAACAACATAGACTGGAGGAGACGTTAAACTTTAATTGACCGGACTAAGGTTCGGTACTACCGTCAAAGACGTAATCAAGCCGACTGACAGACAGATACGATCGTACAACCAGCAATGTTATCCTCACTCGAATCTCGAATCGCTTCGACCTATCGGAATCGTGAACGAACGAACATTGGAAAGCGAGGAGCCGGCGGGCACTCCAAGGGCCACAACATCCAAGCAAACGTGTCACGACAAATGCTGCTGCTGTTGGTGCTGCTGCTTCTGCTGCAGTTGCTGCTGCAGTTGTCGTTGCTGTTGCTGGTGCCATAGCTGTTTCTCCGAGTCTGTAACTACTGCAATCGTCTATCCTTATTGACCTAGCAAACTTCTCTTCCCAACTTTTTACTCTCAGTTTATTCCGGCGAGAAACTCCGCTCGATCGCGAGGAATCGAAGAATCACCGAGTGACTTCAAAAGATCCTATCCGATCGCGAGGCTTCTTAAGAAAGAGCATTTCTCCAATGTACCTCACGAACCTTTACAGTTTAAATTTGACTTGAAAAGCTAAGCGAGTATCTATGCGCTCCTCGTATCTCGCCGTTGTCATTATTTCATTCCAAGAACAACACAAGTAATTTACATTTCTCCTTTTCGCGTTTATACAGTTCCCTATTAAAATTCTCACTGTTTGTCTTTCTAGACTAAATCTCATTAAAAAAAAAAACAAACATTTATATTTGTTATATTTGATACTACTGCATCGAAATTTGTAACGATCGTTTATCGATTCCGATACGCGAAGGGCCTAAAGCGTAACGAATCGATCGATCTCAAGGCTCCATTAGCAATTACATTTACAGACTCGCATCTGTATGCATGCTCACGTCGTTAAAACGAGAAGGGCGAATCTCTGAAATCGATCCTACGCTGCTGATCTCAAGAGGACAGGCGCAAACTGCCAAGGCGGTTACGTGTTTCGAGAATCGACCCGGAGGCGATCGAAGAGTCGTGTCCATTCGACTTCGAAGTTAAAGGAAGCGGTCCATCGCAGGATCGTGAATCAGTTGGATGAGAGTACTCTGAGAGAGTCTCTGATACCAACGAACAACCCTGTCATTTACATATTCATACCGTATCTTTGGATCTCGATCAGTGTCTTCGATAAAACAGTTTAAGTGCTAATGCCACTTCTTTCTCTCTCTCTCTCTCTCTCTCTCTCTCTCTCTCTCTCTCTCTTTCCCTCTCCCTTCTCTCTCTCTATCTTCATTCACTGTCTGCACGATTCGATCAAAAAGATAATCTTCGTTGGGCAAGTTTTTTAATTGACTTCGAAACATAGTTTCCTGGAACTGCGAGCGACACGACACAAATTACCCGAACAAGAAAAATTATGCAAAGTAACATTTTCGTATGTTAATAAATATTATACGCGTATAATAGTCTAATCATTATTCTTTATTATTTATCATTTCTATATCGAGAAATTTGTACGAAGTGTTTTAGAAAATAAGTTACGAATTCGAAGACTCGTCATTTTCGAAATTCATTATAGTTAATGAATCGAAATTTGGATTACTTGTCAAATCGAGATCTTTTGGAGCGTTGTCTTATCTACGTGAAAGCCGAAACGAGGACCATCGCATCGAGCACATCACGGAACGAACGTCGTTGCTTTTCAAAGAGAGGGTGGACTCGATGCTTTGCCGAAGAAGGCCTTCCTTTCTCCATCCATTTCAAAGGACAATGGTCCGGCAATGTCTTTGTGAGAACTGCGATGGAGTGCTCGGATTGTCGTTGATTACCAGCGAGAAGTGCGTCGTGGATGAAGAGCGGTGATAGAAATGAAAGAGAAGAGAAATATGAAAGGGGGGAGAGTGTACAATCAACGGATGACTATCGATCACAGGGACATCTAAAACTGCTTCTTCGATTTGCTGTTGCTCATCCTTGCGGTTTTGAATCAAATAGTCTTAAACTATAACCTCGAAATGATGATGGTCAATACGTTAAGAAAATTAAATAACATTCTTAATAAACTAAAGATATATAAATGTTATAATTTATTATTTTACTCATAACACTTCGCGATCGGTAATGTAGTCTTATGTAATTTTTAAATCTTTACCATTATAAATACTATTCATCAATTTTGTATTTAACTAGCATTAGCGATAATTTAATTTTTGTATACAAATTAATTGTTAGATAGAATAATATTTTATATATTCTTTCCTCTTATCTAACTAATAAATCCCTATGGCGGTTAACTATAAGCTTTGAGAAAGTTAATTTTTAACTAGCTTAAAAATGTACTCGAAATCTTAGAATCTACATCGTCGTGTTAAAATTCCATCGTATGACCATATGGTTCTCACGATCGTTCTTACGGAAAAAATTCTCGAGAAGACGTAAAGTACATCGTGATAACTAGGAAGGTTTTTATATGCCTTGCTCTAACTTTCTTGAAATCCTATCGACGTCTAGGCTGCCAGGAATCTAATACGAGCTCCTAGATTTTCAGGAGGATGCGACGAGGCTCGTATTCGCAGCACGTGTTTCCGAATATTATTTTACCTGGATGCGGGTTGGGGCGAATTAGATGTCCGGAGTAACCACCGTACATATGGTTTCCGATTACGGATGGATATATTTATACTTAAGTCATGTCCAAATCAAATTAAATAATTTTAATACTTTCTATTATCTATCTCTTATATTTTTCTTCTTAGCGACAATATTATTAACAATGTTAATTGACGTATATCTAAGAAAAATATTGAAAATCTAAAAGAAAGTATCTTGTTACGAAGAGTGTACTAGAGTGGCGAATATCGGAAAGAGATATCTTGTTTGAAAGAGAAACCGCATCACGGAATACCTTACTTGTATTATCTCGAATTCGGTATGCGCATCTGAGGAGATTACATCGAAGATCATTAAAAGTACTCTATACATATACAAACATAGATAGAGAAGGAAAACGTGCGAAATTGATGATAAGAAGAAATAAGATACAAAGGGGACGATGCGATCTGAAACAATTTCTGCTGGATACACTAGCGGTAGCTTGCTTGGCCGATCGATAATCTACGACCGATCACGAGCGCTTCGTGACCGAGATCTAAAACAATTGAGTCGTAGAGCGGAATAATTGAATCGCGAATAATCCTCTCGACTTTCGATTGTAAAATCAAACGTAAATAAGTAGTATAACATATATCGAAAACTCGTGAGATGTGTGTATAAACACTTGTACCCTCATCGTTTCCTCTTATAAAAGGACAACCAAAATGATTTTACTTTCTCCGTTTTCACCGTTTTCGTGGTTATCCTTATCGGTCAATTTAAACGACGGTTCACATCGGTGCCGCAAAGTCCACTTAGCGGTTTTACACAAACAGGCCTCGAAAAGAGGCTGAGGGAATACCGTCCACACCCTGTAAACTCCATTCTCTCTCTCACACTACTACTCGTTCGGTTTCTACGCATCATCTCCTCTTAACAATGAACGTTTCATCCTGTTCGACTTAAGAGATAAAACATTTTCACTTCTTGTCGCAACAAAATAATATTCTTTTTTTTATTCTTATTTTAATGATTGACAAACTAAAAGATAAAAATGGCTGTATGAAAGAAATGGTCGAAAAAGAAGAGAAAGAATAAAATAGGCTGTAAACAGTGTAAACGTAAATGACTTTCCTACAAGGAGAAAAAAACGAGCGTTTCACTAAGGATAAAGAAACCGTTTTTCGCGTCGATTAAACTGTGTGTACTTAACTTTAAAGAGAGTAGTATATACGGTCGAAGGGACGCGATGACAGCCTTCCCTCGTTTCTTTTTTTTTTGTCTTTTTCTTCTTTCTTCTTTTGTTTTATCTTAAAATGTTTTAAATAATAAAAAAACTCTTAATGTTATCTAAGAACCTGAATCGGGCGTAAATATGGAGATCTCTTTTTTCTCGTCTCAATGCTTACTACTTTCTCACGTATTTTTATTTCAATTAGATACCCTCGTATCGTATGGAACGTTGATCTCGTCTTAATTGTTTAGAACGTAGACATCCTGCCGTGGCGTTTACCTTCGTGCATTCTACCTTTCCCCGACGGTGTACGATTTCTCGAGGATGCGCATTTCGGGGCCCTAGAATTAACGTGGCAAAAGAGAGTACGAGGAGAGTCAAGCGGCAAAGGGCCACGAAAGATTGCAGGGTGCAAGCCCGAGGAATGCCGTTGTAAGAAACGAAAACGAAGACGAACCCGAAGAAGAAAGAGGAGAAGAAGAAGAATGACCGCGAGATGGCAAGTGTGGGAAAGATGAGATTGGCCCACATGACGCGAGAAAAGTGGAACTAACGGACTGGCATGCCTACGTGGCCGCAACGAGAAAAAAGGGCCGGCCCTTTTGACACATATCCGCTGCTAAAGGTAAATACCTTTTATTCTTTCCCTGCAAGCGCGCGACTATTGTCCGACAATAGCGTTTAACCGAAGATACGTATACATACACATCAAAATTATAATCGGAAGACGTGAGAATATTGGATAACTAACACTACTACTAGTTTGCAATAACCGACCTAGCATTATGTACTACGATGCTTTCCTCTAGCCTTTCTTAAAGTTTACGCACAACGAATGTTCTATAGAAACGATTCACCTTCTCCTGTAGTTTTTTCAGCCGCAAGCCTATTCGAGAAACGTTACTTGCAATGATAAATTTGTAGCAAAAATATGAACGCCAGGATAAAGAATATAATGGCTATAAATGTTTTTACCTTCGAGTCAAAATCACTAAGAAATAAGAGAGAAGTATAGACGTGTGTTCTTTGACACGTTACTCGTTCAACTAGTTATATAAAGAAACACCGTAAGCCGTTCTCTAAGGTGAAACCTATAAACTTACTTGTAATGGTTAGGCTGTTTATTTACATTCTCTCTCTACTCGATAAGATGCTTCTTCTCTTTCCTTTCTTTGGTATATACATATGTAAATACTAGTCGTTTGACCTATTATGTCATCATCTCTAAATATATTTTTTATTAGTATTGCATGTACTAACAACATTATTCCAACGAAATGCTTATTGTGTAATATTACGTAGGAAGAAATTGAAAATTTGTATTTTAAATACTATATACACCAATAGAATATATAGATTTGTATAGGAGCATCATTTAATGCCAAAGAGGATACTTTCTCGATCCACGTGCGTCTATACGAAGAAGAATAAGACGCTCGAAGAATTCTCACGGTGTCTACCGATAGAAGAACGCATCGCAAATGTTGAGCGAAACTCGCGCGACTTCCGTGCCAGAAATTTCAATCGTCCTGCAAAAAGAAGAAAAAAATTGAGAAAGAGAGAGAGAGAGAGAGAGAGAGAGAGAGAGAGAGAGAAAGAGAGAGAAAAGCCAGTAAAAAAGAAGGTAAGGCAAAGTTACAGAAAAGGTAGACTGTTTGCCAGTATAGCACGCTCATTTTTTCTTTCGCACGTCGTCTCCTTTCGTTTCGTTCGAACGGCAAAAATAATTCACAAAAGATCGAAGTAAGACTTATGAAACGAGTAGTCGATTCTCACGCACGCACGCAACAAGCTACTATGAAGTGATCGAAGTTTCGAAAAAAATAAGAATAAAAGAGAACAGGAATTGCGCTTATTTCTTTAGGAAAAATAAAAATGATAAAAAAAGAAAGAGAGAGGAAAAACGAGACGACAGGATGGACATTGATGATAATCATTGTAACGTGTTTTTAATCTAAATTATGGTGTTTTAGTATACGATAATCGCATCAAAAACACGTTTACTGAGACAGTAAGAGGCAGATGGATCGAGAAGAAAATGTGATGCGCGACCATACATTAATAATAACTGCATATATGTTACATGATATACTTCAAATACTAAGATTCTAAACCGTTATAAATGTTGAGATCAATATCAAAAGTGATAAATTTGAAGTAGAATCAGCAATGGTTGATGATCGGCATGGCTGGTAACCGGTTGGCGGATGATTCGAAATCACAAAGATATAAGTTTCCTTGGTCCTGGTAGAATGAATCGATATTGGATCGATAAATTCCATTATTAATGTGAGTACTGCAAAAAGCTGATAAATTGCCGAGCGTGGATACGCGTCTAGGAGCGTCGATCTTACCAGTCCTACAAAACGTATCTTCCAGTAGCCTAGAGGCCACTCAAAACGATTTATTTACCCAGCCTGTTCCTACTTGCCGAGACTATAATTTTCCACGACATTCGCGCTCGCGCAAACGATTACGCGTTCCAATTTTGTCCGGAAATTGCTAAGTGCGCCCGAAGATAGACGCTGACGAAGATAGTTGATTCATTCCTCGTCTATCTTTTTTCTCTCTTTCTCTCTCGAAAATACAAAAGCGATATCGGCAAAAACTACGGATGATAAAACTCGGATGGTAAAACTCGGATGGTTTTCTATAGTTTCTCTCGATATCGGGAAAGGAACACAAAAAAAACAGAACAAGAACAGAAGAAAAAAGTATGCCGAAGGCAAATTTGGTCTTATGCGGCAGGAGGCACCTATCGCGATAAAGAATCGCAATGAGAAACGTATATCTCCGATCGACGATGCACCGTCATTGTTGGCGTGGTAGGTGTGCCGTTTTTAACGGCGATGTTATTTCATGGCGTAAGTCGAAACTGCAGCCGGCTGCAGGTGTACTGCTCTTACTCGATCTGAAGATGTTTCGATGCGCATTGTGATCGAATGATATAATAAAGGCTGAAGTCCGTGAGAAACGGAAAATGGGACCACCTGACGCACTGACGGCAAAGCACAGGATACGTGCCTTTATATATATTTGTAAGTCTATTCGAGAAGCACGTAAAAATGTACGCGTACATCAACGAACCACACCGTTTCTCAACGATCTCTCTCACGACGATAGATAGAAAGAGAAGGAGAAAGGACGTGTATGCATATTGCGTATCTTCGTGCCAGAAGAGGTTGGTCTTCCGCAATAACGTCCGAATAAACGTCTTTCGTCGCGATAACTCGAAAGCACGAGGTATGCGTGCCAGATAGAAAATATTCGTAAATAAACGAAGGATGCAATCTTAACATTCTACAGGGCTGTTTGGAACCGTGCCAGCAACGACGCGAATAGCAGAAGGTACGCGAACGACTCTTTGGAAAACAAAGTTTTACTCGAAGTGTGCGAGCGGCGACCAAACACTTCTGCCGCAACTTTCGAAAAGATTTTCTCCTGTGCTACATATACCTAATATTGTTTATACATATACGTGTACCTATTCCCTGCACGCCGATTTGCAACCAAATAAAAGAAAGGAATAAAAGAAAAATAATGAACGTATAAAATTCGTGTATATGCATGTTATATATATTTATTTATAACGGACGCTTATTATATCGCGATCCAACTTTAATAATTGTATTTTTCAACCCTAACAAATGTGAATGTTTCGAAATATGATAGAAAAAATGCACCAGATGACAGAATAACAGCTTCGATACCGACAATTAGCGAGATATCATTAAGTAAGAAACGTTTCCATACGATAGTAGAAAAATGAAAATGAAAAAAAATAAAGAGAAAAAACAGAGGAAAACCTTTTCAACGGGAAAGTTCGAATATTACAGCGTGCAAACTAAAAATTACGAACCCTTCTTTATTCTCTTTCAACTGAATGCGTCGCCCTTCAGAGCTTATAAACTTAAAATAATATAGTACTATTGTATAGTCGTACAGAAATAAAAAAAAGATGACAATAGAAGGAAAAAAGAAATAAAGGTGGATGGAATGATCAATGACGAAAATATGTTCGGGTGAGAAGAATGAAAGATACGGGAAAAGAAAAAAAATAATGAAAAGGAGGAAACGATAAAAATGAGTACAAAAGCGGACGGAAATCTTTTGTAAAGCTATTAATCTACTTCTAATTTGTAATTAGATCTAATCGGAATGAGTTTAAAAGTAAAAGAAATCGTCGAAAGAAATCGTCGAAAGAACGACATCTTCCGCCACCTACGCAGATGGAATCGCACGATCGACGTACGCCCTCGCAAGAGTGTAATCGACGAGGTTGAAAACCGTACGAGTTATACGAATTGTCGGTTCTCAACGGGATATCAGAGTGGCATCCTGCAGGGCACTGCGTGGTGCCTTGGCGCTATCGTTCCGAGCTTTCATCGAAGTCATCGTCATCGTCATCGTCATCGTCATCGTCATCTGGCGGTTCCTATGAGGGACACGCATTCTGAAGGAAGATTGACCTTAATCGAGCGATTCGTCGTAACACGCCTTCTACCATCGATATCGAGGAAATAATCTATATCCCTGCGAATAGGATTAATCAGCCTTTCTGTTATATTTTTGTTAAAAAGTAATCTCCGGGAGATTGCAAAAATTAATTAACATTCACATACGAATTATAATTAAAATGGTATTTAAATAATACAAATGAAAACGTTAAATAAATTGCATTAATTAAAATGCAGACTTTTGCAAATTCGTCGAAAAAAATGCAAAGCTTTTTATCGCGATATTTGATATACTTTTTATTAAATCGCTATGTAAAAAGTTTATCATAAAATTACTCACCTCTTTATCGGGGATTACCTTTCAGTTTTAAAAGCACGAACAAAAAGATTCATTGGTAAGCGTGCTCGCATGACTATATCGGAATTCGATCTCCATTCGGTCGAACAAAACCCCTAGCTAATTCTCAACGTATTTACACTACGCGCGACGACACGAATCAATTAATTATACTACTATATACTATACTTAATATTAGTCGCGATCATCATCGTATATTATTAACGTTCATAATTTGCTAATGGCCAACGAGATTGGTATTCACGAAATACTACCATTCGACTTTTGCCATCGATCCCATTGCCATTGGCGCCCATGCAAAAGATTGCGCAGCATTCGTACGTTTTCAATTAATTGAAAGCGAGCTCCCGTTGATTCGCCGATTCGAAACGCCGGAAAATGGATTAAACGTACGTACGGACTTTGAATCGTGTATCGTTCGACGAATATTTCGATTGACGATTCGAACGAAATTACACAATCAACTAACGCGACCATCCAATTTTTCACGAAACGTCAGAAATATGTATATGACGACATTCGAAAATCTCGATGAACAAGAAAGAGAAGAAAATGTTCCAAACCCTCGGGCATTTTACGTTCGTCTCAACGCAACTCTGGGAGAAAAGTTTTGGCGAGTTTGCTACAGGAAAGAGCACAATACTTTTCTTGGACGACATTGCCGGAGAGGACGAAAGTTTCAGTATGAAACGGAAGAAAAGCTACAGGAATAAAGGGAGAGAAAAAAAGAGAGAGAGAGAGAGAGAATAAAAAAAAACAACAAGAAATATAAAATGAGGGTTGAATTCGGGAGACTCAAGGGTGGAATCGTACGTGGACGAAAGGACGAAGAAAGGGCGGTGACGTCCCGATATCGCGATATTATAGATTAAAATGATATTTTTTGTATGCCTTCAGCAATGTCAAAGTCTTTTGTAATTGATATTCCTGAAGGAATAAAAGAAAACTGGAGATAGCAAATAAATTTCTTTTGTATATCTCTCGTTTCAACTATCCTATACGCGTGTAGATATCATAGAACATACTTTCCATAAGAAATCATCTTCGATTACACTCGTATTATATTTTCTATTTCCATTTTCCCGAAAGATCCTGGCGTTATCTCGTATCCTCTTACAGTCAGAGCTAGTATAATATTTCGCGGAAGAGCGAAACCTTCTCGAGTCCTGTCAACCTTCCGAAAGGTCACGCGAAATCCACTGGCGTCGTCGTGACAGGCAAGGGTAGGGTGGAAAGAGGAATTGGAGAAGCGCGGAAGCGTATACGTGACCCATAAGTCCCCGAAGGGGCTCGTAGACGTTGTCTTCCGATGAAGGAAAGGAGTGAAGAGGTAACAAGGGAAGGAGGATTTGCCTTCGAGGAAGAAACGGCAGCGTCGTCGTCGTCGTCGTCGTCGTCGTCGTCGTCGTCGTCGTCGTCGTCGTCGTAGTCGTCTACTCGCTGAAGAGAAAAAAGCTCCGCTTCTCTAAGCCACCATGATTCCAGGAGATAAACCCCCATATTATGTCGCGCGAGATAATACGAAAAATCCACAGCGAGACATTGTGCTCGGCCGACACAGCTTCCACGCTAAGAGAGAAAAAGATAGAGATAGAAAGTATACTCATAGAAGGATTTCACGGCTGGCACGTTAGGATACTGGAGCTTCCACCACTATCATCACCACTACTACAATCACCATCACCATTGGTCTATCCTTTCCAACGATAAGACGACGAAAGAGTAAGAAATGAAAAATGAAAGCTTTCTTCTACTTCCTTGAATATCTACAACACAATATATATATATATATATATATATATAATATGTACTCTCTCATTCTCATCCGGCCGAACCATTTTTATTTTGTACTAAGAATTTAAATTTTTACAAAAAAAAAACGTTGTGAATCCTTTCGACATCCTCTTCGTTCTTTTCTCGACGGATTTCATTAACTACGGTACTACAAATGTGATATGCACGTGTGTATGCGCATGTATACGCATATACGTACAACCACAAAACGTTTCAGTTTTTTTTTCTGCACGTTGTGGAAACCTTCCGAGTTAGCTGCGGAATGTAGAACGAAAGAGGAAGATTAAATCTGAGCTTATCCGTTTGTACACGTTAGAAAAATTCCGGGCGACCCTCGAATTCTTTGATCGGTGAAATAAAGAGAGAGAAAAGAAAAGAGAAAAAGAAAAGAGAAAAGAAAAGAAAGAATACCGTTCTTGCGATTATTAGTGTCGTAAAGAAGAAAAATACAACGTAGTCGTTATCAAAGTAACTAAACGGATATACCGTTGCCGAGCATATATATATATATATATATATATGTGTGTGTGTGTGTGTGTACATATATCGGTGGCCGGTATTGCGACTCTCCAGTACAGTTTATTGGCGCAAAAGGAATGCTCGGTGTGCCATAAAAAATTCACGTTGCGGTCAGTGGGCTCGTATTAAGGTAAACTTTAAATAAGAACGCAGAGTTCTCGTGGGGTTGGATTCTTCGTTGTCTCGTGGACTCGTGCGTTTAATTAAGCAGTAAATCGAGATAGTCTGGACGTTTACTTTTATTGCGGCCCTAAACTATATCTACCGGGAGATCGTGCACGACCGAGAGAAAAAAAAAGAACAAATAAGGATAGAAAGAGGTAAGAAAGAGAAAAAGAAAGACAAAGATAGGAACTTACGGGCAAACCCAAAACAAGTCGAAATTTTCGTTGGTACATCGTCGTCGTTGTCGTTGATATGGTCAGTCACAGTCAGCCCTTTCCTTTCTCATATATTACCTTTCTTTTCTTTTTTTGTTTGTTCCTTCGTTTTCTTTTTTTTAACGAGCGATAAAGAAGTTACACGCAAGTTAAAATACGTCGTAAAGTACGTGAATTCAGGGTGGGCTCAGAAATGACACCTTCCTTATTATCCTCTCCTTACCGTCAATTATTCCATTCGCGTATCGAAGCATTTAGGTTTTAAAAGCTACGAAATTAATTTAATCGTATTTTCACGCTAAAATATTGCCGATGCCGTTCCGATATCAAATGCGTTGCCGTCCTCGCAAAATCGAACGTATACTTTGTTTTGTTCGTTGAAAGGCTCGAGTTAATGATACGTCGCCAAGCCGGGTGTGACCGTCGAGATTATAGTTACAAATTAAAACTGGTAATTCGAGAATCAAAATGTTAAAGACGAGCCGGCAATTTCTTACCGCGTTTATGGAGTAGTCGTACATTGCTAATGCATAAATGAAAGGAGGGTTAAAAGAAATAAAAAAACGAAATAATAAAAGAAGACAAATAAAAAATACGCGAAAGACGCCTTGTTATTGTCATTATAATATTATCTACGTACAACAAATAAGAATTTAAAAAAAAAAAAAATATATTCTTCTAGAAAATACTAAAATATCGTCAAAGAGATAAAAGGAAAAAAAAGAGAAAGAAAGAAAAGTAGTAAGCAGGCAGATTGGTTCGTGTTCGACTAGAGAAGAAACTATCGTTGAGTTGGTTTAGAAGAAAAGCTAAAGAAAAGAGGAGCGAAAAGGGAGAAAGAAATGCAGGTCGCATCCGGCGCAGCTCGTCGCCTTCCACTTCCATTTGAATAAAAGCAACGATAAGCACATCCTTAGAGTCGCTCGCAGTTCTGAATTGTTTCCGCTTCTTAAACCCCCGACAAATTTATTATAATAACTACCCTTAGCCGGCGGATCTCGCTGCTCGTTCCCTCTTCTGTCTTTCTTTCACTCCCCTTTCCTCTTGACAATTTCCCACCTCCCCTTATCCTCTCCCTTCTACCTCCCCGATCCTCTTTACCTCTCTACCACCCTCCCAGCCGCGTCCACTCGAAACCCTACTCTCTCCACATCGACGCTCGCTTCTGCGCCTTTCCTAGAGCCGCCTACGCTTCTTTTTCTCCCTCTCTTTCTCTCTCTCTCTCTCTCTCTCTCTCCCTCTCTCTCTCTCTCTCTCTCTCTCTCTCTCTNCTCTCTCTCTCTCTCTCTCTCTCTCTCTCTCTCTCTCTCTCTCTCACTCTCACTCTTTCTTTCTTTCTTTCTTTCTTTTCCTATATGTATAGATACGTACATCTTTTTTCCTCTCGACATTTTCCTCCGCGGCATCGTTTTTCTCCCTTTTCTTCCAAAGCGAGAACTCCCTGTTCTCCGTGTGGCCGCGAGGCGAAAGGGAGGAACGCTTCCACGTATAATGCGCTTCTTCTTTCTTCCTTCTTCTTTCACGCGGCAAAGAAACTTGGGGATAAGGGAAAACGAGAGGCATCGGTTGCAATATCCGAGAGAAGCGACGAGTTTCGTCTTTCCACGTGCAAATATTCCAAGCGCTGCCTCGCCTCTTTCTTCTTCTCCTTTTTCGCTTTATATCTACATACCTCGACTGCGCTCTCGCCTATCACGAAGAACTTTTTATTAAGCCAGCTAAGACGACGATATAGATGCATATACTATCTAATTTATTATATATCTATATATATGTATAAACCAATACCTGAAATATGAAAATTGCTAATAATACAAGCAAAAACGAAAGAATTCTCAACTGCTATTTTATTGTTAGAATAAGCGTTATAGAAAGATATATATATTGCATTGTGTTTCTTTTAATAAACCAACGGTATTTCTTCGATTTAAATACCTGTGAAAGAAAGAACAATGAGGAAATAAAAAATAAGAAATTAACTCGACGAGCTGAGCGTTTGCTTGCGGCTTTATAAAACTATTAAATCGCTCCGAGGGATGAAACATCAGCAATAAAGAAGAAGAAGAAGAAAAAGAAGAGCAAAGGAGAAAAGAAAGAAACAAAACGCGAGTCACTTCCGTCTCCCTATTTCTTTATAAGGGGAGGGAACTTTCTCTCGTACACATTGTTAACTGGAAATGATTCCTGCTTTGTACATTTTAATAATACCTACAACGTTCGTCCGGAAATGATACGAATGAAATCAAAATTGCAGACGAAAAAAAGGAAAAAAAAACGAGAACAACTCAAACATTCTTCTAGCGCTTGCCAATAGGTCGGAGTTAATTTTTTCATGGAAACATTTTAATGCGTAGTTGTTACGAGTCCAAGGTGGTGTCCCTTTTCGTGCCGACTAAATAACATCTCAAACGACGTTTCGTAAACGCGAAAAAGGATACGCGCTGGTTGCGTTTCATTGCGAGTCTATTTAATTTCCTTCTATCATAGTAATATGACCCAAATTCTAACGTTTCTTTTCTCAGTTTTCCATATCTTCTTTCATTTGTTCTCTGAAATTTCGCTTAATATAAAAAAAATATGGATTTATTCGAAAAGAGATACTGACAGCAAACAATCGAAGGGCTATCTTCAAAATCTTATGTTAAATCAATGATAAATTCGGTGGAAATAACGTGTACCTTCCACATGAGCGAGCCGAGAAACATGGAAACGAAAGAAAAGGAGTTAGTAAGTGGGGATAAGGTGGTGGGCATTAGGAGGAGAAAAAAAGAAAGAAATGGAAAAGAGAAGAAACGAAGGCAAGTTGAAAAGGCGAAGATGGTAGATGCTCTTGCGAGGAGGGGTTCGGCTCGAGGTGGTATTTACGACGTCATTTCCTCGCTGACTGTCAATAATTTCCCTGGGGGACATGGAAGACACCACCTTTCGTGTAACAGGCCGCCTTTTCTCCTTTCTCATACTCGACCATCCCTTCTGCTGCTTCGCCACGCGTTTCCTTTCTTTCTTTTAGTATCATCCCTCCCCCACTCGCTCCATCCCACTCCTTCCTAACTCTCCTCTCGCTTTTTCTCTTTGTCTTTTCTCCTCTCTATTTTCTTCTTCACCATTTTTATCTCTTTTTACTTGATAGCATTCATCCTCCTACTCTATGCCCCATTACGTGTCCCACACGTTTTCTTCCTACCAGTGCAGCTCCTTCTTCATTTGTCTGCAAATTGAAAAGTGAGCGTGGAGCGACGTTGAAACGTCATCGCTGGCGAGCTCGAGTCCCGAGGCGACTAACAAGTAATGGCGATATGGGATAGGATTTCGTTAGTTTCTCTTAAGGTGAATACATTTTTGACAATTGCGATCTGTGCTTGACTAATTCCCCGTGTTGCATGTTAAGTTATTCATATTTTTTATAAAATATCTCTTCTTTATCTTAACTATTATGAATACTTATAAGAAGTAAACGATTTTTACTATAAAACTCTATTAACAATAGGAAAGCGAACTCTCAGGGTGCAAACAGCTGCTTCTAATAAAGCATCTCCTTTAACTAATTTACAATCAGCGCTCTCTGCACATCGGTTGGACCGACCCGACCGAGTGACGGGAGGGCTAAAGAGGTGGAAGAGAGAGAGAGAGAGAACAAGTACCCAAGTTCTCCGTACTTTCTCTCTCCCTCGAGGCTGTCGTTGCCATGACCTAGAACTCTTTAATATCCATTATCGATACCGTTTCATCCCCTTTAACTCATTAGACTTGATCAATTATACGAAAATGCTTTCGTATTCTCTTCTTCCTATCCATCCTTTAAATATTCCCCATCAACCATTCCTTCGTTTATGATTCAATCAAGTCTACGAATGGTAACTGGTATCTCCAGATTTCATTGTCCAATAACGTAAACTATTTTACGTTTTGCCATTTACGATGTGTTGAGGTCGTCAACCACGTGCTCGAATCTCTTACCTGAAACAAAAAAGTAATCGATAATTAATTACAAATTCATATTAATAATTCAAATTATTTCGTTGTTTGATTAATATATAACAATCGATAACATTGTCTTATATTTAGATATATTTATAAATAATATCTTTTAAGAGAAGGAAAAATGAAGTGAATAAAAAACTTCGAGTCCCTACAATATGCGCCATCTATAGGGGTTTATTCCAGACAAATAAATAGATTTTTTTACCACTTCCTACTCGCAATCGCTCACGAAGCTCTTGATATTTTTTAACTTCGCAAGCAATTTGTTCCTCGTCAATCTTACGTGTACACAAGTATATACTTACAAAGTACTACCATACAACACAATGTTGGAAATTTTCGAGCTCGAAAAAAGAAAAAAGACTGAGTATAGTTCGCGTGCCGCAGAGCGTCCTTTGCAAGGACGACAGTCGTTAAATAATTGCAGCCGTTCGTAATTAATAGTGAACGCTTTGTTATCGCACCGAGCGTGAAATAACGTATACTGTACGAGCTCGGTGAACCGTCGAGGACGGTAAGCGAACCAAGACGATACCATATTTATTTCGTTAAGCTCCCACCCCACGTGCGCCCTTTCTCATAACGGTGTTTTACCCTCTCCAAAGCCATCGCGCAAGGTAGAACAAAAACGAGCGGATCTCAAAACATTCGCTAATATAAAAACGCTTTTGGACGTCTTTTCTTTTTTTTTTTCGTACAAAAATAATAGCTCGAGCATTTTTCCGAGAGTAAGACGAGAGTAAACAAACCAAAAAATATACGAAGGTGGAAAAAAGGAAACGTTAAAAAGACGTTGTTTAAATAAACATGTTGGAATATAAAGTACTGAAACGCCATTCGATAACTCGAACTACTGTAAGAAAAGAATAGAAAAAAAATGAGAGGAGTGGTACTTGATCGAACATATACGGACCAGAGAAAACTAGTTAAAGAATAGAGAAATAAAGAAAAGAAAAAAAAATAGGAAAGGAAGATTCATAGAAGGAAACACGAGTGGCAAGAATAAGATGCAAGGCACACTCGTTGATATTATGCAGGAGGCAGAATGATGAGCGAGGGAAAAGAACAGAAAGAGAAAGAAAAAGAAAGAGAGCAAAATAGAGAAAGAGGAAAGAAGAGGAGCAGGAGGAGGAGGAGGAGGAGGGAGGCAGGAAACAGTGTAACGGCAACCGTAGGCTCCGTGCACGAGGGTAGAATATGCTTAACGTTAATTTGTACGATAAAGGAATTATTGATTTTTACTTAGGCGGCTCGCTCAAGGGTGAGAGAGAATGCGGGAGTTTCGTAGAAGGTTGCTTTAAAGCGGTAGTACTAATGGGACGCCTTTAACCCGTCGATGTCGTCCTGCCACTTTGACCTTCCTCCTTAATCTATTTAACACTCGCTAACTCGAAGACAACATTACGTCCTACTTATTTCCTCATCTGTGTTTTCTTCTTTTCTATGACGTCTTTTTTGTTTATCTTGTCTACTTTATAACCTTATTTAACCACGAAACAACGATCAATTTCCTACTCTAACAATTGTCTTTTCTAATCATCGAACGATAAATTTATAAGTTTACCACGTTGACTTAAACGTCAGGCCGCATGTGCCATCTTTGGCCCACGTTATTGCATTCATCGTAAATGCTTCTAAAACATGAGTTATGATATTTATAAAACCATTCAACGTGTTAATGCGAACGTCTCGTTCGAAACGTTGTCCAAAGAAATTTTCCTCGCTTACGTTATGACATAGGTATACATTAATCTCCTTCATAGACGTACACGTTAAATTACACTCATGCATACATGCATATCTACATGTATGGATATAGAAGAGTATACATGTAAAAAGAGCAGCCGTATAGATTATATATATGCAAAATACACGGTCGCGGTAGCACTGACTTTGCCGCGGCTTGAAATTCGGAGTAATAGGAAAACTCTTGGGCGGAAAAGAAGTTCAATCTAACCGAGAGAGGGAGAAAAGCTTGGGAAAGCTCTTTTGACTCCTTTGATTCCGAGTCCAAGCCCCTACTACCTTTACTCCTACCACTAGCACTATTACTGCGACTCCTCTACCTTCTAAATCCTTCTTTTCCTTCGACCTCTTGCGATACCACTACTCCGTATCGTTTTCCAGAATGCCAAGAGACCACCAAAACTTGCCTCGTAAACCTACCCTACGACCGGTACGCTTGGCCAACTTTGGAAGATCTTACTTTTACCTTCTTCATCGGAGCTCTCTTATACCTCTCTTGCTATTTTCTACAGAGCACGATCGTACTTTTGCGTTTCAAAGGGTTAAAGAATACGATAGAAAACATTTGTATATCTTTATATTACGTATCTTGTACCTAAAATAGGAGTACTTTGCGGACCGCAAACGTCGATTTCTTCTATAAAGAAGGCCGCACATTGAGGCCGGTCGAAAATTGATGACTAAAAAACGTAAATTCATGACTGGGCGTGCCGGGTCGCATTTGAAGGCTTAACGGGCCGCGGTTTTAGTATGGTTGACCTAAGATACCGCGTTTGGTAAGAATAAAGGATGTTGTCTGAGAGAAAGAAAAGTAGAAAAATAAAAGTAAGGAAAGAAAGATCTATAAGTAAAACGTTCTCATTGGGCGTCGGCCTCGCGTTCCTCTGCCGATGGCGGAGGCAAAGGCGGAGGCGGAGCGGCGGCAGTGGCGTCGTCGGTGGTGCGGGTAAAGAAATAATGAAACTCCGTGCCAGGAAAGTGCTCACTTTATTGACAAGAGAACCTCCGAGAGAGGCTCAGAGGTGCGACGAAGGAAAATATAGTGCTTCCATATCCGCGCGCGGCTGTCTATCGATTCTCGACGAGTATAAAGTACTGCGATTCCGCCGGTCGACGGCGTCGCCGACTCGACGGAATAAATTTGCGATCGCCCGGGTAAAACGAGTTCGGTTCAGCTAGAAAGAGAGATAGAGAAAGATTCAGCAGAATAAGAGAGAGAGAGAAAGAAGGAGAAAGCAAGGAGGACGACGGTGTAGGGCGAAGAAGTAGAAGGAAAAAAGAAAATGAACGGCAAGAGGAAATGGAAGAGAAAAACGAGAAAAAGAGAGAAATAGAGCGAAAGAGAAAGAGAAAGAACTCGAACACATACTATCCGATAGCATTTTCAAAACTACCTGTCTCATTTTCTCTCCATCTTCTTTTCCCCAACTATGTCAACTCTCGCCTTATTCACCTATATTATATATATACGTACGTATAGGTAGACCGTTTCTTCTTAAATACGAACGAACAAACACAAAGAGGAATAATTTCAACTTGTCCTCAAATCGAAGAAGAAAAGTCAGGTAAGTCTTCACTTTGACTCCCTTCGTCTTCTTTAGTGAATCCTTCTATGCAATGAAAGAAGGATCTCTTTGTCGGTAGAAGATCGTTACAGCGGCTGATTGGCGGAAATCTTGTTAAAGGTTTCGTTTGAATAATCGCAGCTCGATTTGTCGATTTTCATGACTCGATCCTTGCGTAATGACGCGTGGAAACCCACTTCTCTCTCTCTCTCTCTCTCTCTCTCTCTCTCTCTCTCTCTCTCTCTCTCTCTCTCTCTCTCTCTCTCTCTCTCTCTTTCTTTTCCTTTCTAGT